CTCTGTGTACAGTGTCTATGCTAGGCTAAGCTACTTGTTTCGCTCTGTGTACAGTGTCTATGCTAGGCTAAGCTACTTGTTTCGCTCTGGTCCATGCTTTCTGTCTGATCCAGACCTCCCAATCTTTGACCCTGATCTCCTCTGTTGTGTTTCAGGAGTGGTCCGCCATGTTGGAGATGCTCTGAAAGACCATTCATCCAAGTCCAGAGGTAAAGTGTGTGCTATCGGCATCGCACCGTGGGGGATCGTGGAGAACAAAGAAGACCTGATCGGCAGAGACGTAAGACAACCAGACAGACCCGGACTAAGATCTTTACCATGAAGGCCCTCCTGACTCACCTCTGCCTGCTGTGTTTCAGGTGACCCGGTCCTACCAGACCATGTCCAACCCGCTCAGCAAGCTGTCAGTCTTGAACAGTAGCCACTCCCACTTCATCCTGGCCGATAACGGGACCAGCAGCAAGTATGGCGCTGAGGTCCGCCTCCGCCGGCAGCTGGAGAAACACATCGCTCTGCAGAAGATCAACACACGTGAGTCGCACACATGTGACCTGCCCAGACAGCCAATCAGTGTGTTCACACCCACGAGGCTCACCGGTCCAGGTGACCGACCATGTGACCTGTGGGTTTCCCTTTGTCATCCTATGCCTGGAGCAGTCTGTAAGGCAGGGACAGCAAAGGGAGGCTCAGCCGTCACCTCTCACTTCAACCACCGAGGAGCCGACAGAACCACAGGCTGACCCAGACCACCAAAACCACTTAAACCATCAGAATCCACCTGGGAAACAAAACAAAACAGAAACTATTAAATGACAACTAGAATCATGCAAAACCACCACAATTACCAAGAAAAAACAGCAACTACCAAAAACTCAATAAAGATCCAGCAAGACCTCAGTAACTAAAACTAGTTATCAATGGGCACCATGACAAAGGCATCGGTGGCGGTTAATGACCTCGACAGATTTAATGTTCTCGTTTGATTTGAAACTGTTCCTAATGAAAAAGAAAGCTGGCTGCCTGCGGAGGGCGTGGCACAGACCACTCTCTGTATGTCCTCTCCAAGTTTGTTACTTGTATAGTTAAGTACGTGTTTTCTGTAGTTTTCGCTCTATTGTTGGACATGGCCCAGTTGCTTAAAGTGATCATCACTCCGCTCGTAGTTCTGTGGTTTGTTTGCGATGGCCTTTGAGTCAACACCGGCAACAGGTTACTTGCCTACAGCTGCGATGAGCTTCTGCTACTCCGGACCTCGATGCTGTGTAAAACCAAGCCTGCTGTGGATTTGCCACTGGAGTTTTGGCCGAGGAAAGAGGATGACATGGAGGTATTTGTTGTAGAGGGGGAGACGTCCTTTCTGCCCTCCTCTCCCCTCCATGTTATTGTCGAATGTCTGTTCTCTCCGTAACAAAATGGATTTACTCCATGCCCGGTGCCAACTGGAAAGGGTTTTCAGGGACATCTGTGTCATCGCCCTGTGTGAAACCTGGCTGGATGAAACAGTCCCTAAAGCCGAAGTCAGCCTGGACAACTTCACCCTCATCAGGTCTGACAGAGACGCTTTGGGAAGATGTGGGGTGGTGGAGTCTGTCTGCCTTGACATCAACAACAGATGGTGTAACAACATCAAAGTGCATCTTAAGATGTGTTCACCGGACCTGGAGCTGCCGACCGTGTCACTCCTTCCTTTCTACATTCCCTGGTAGCTTCCAACGATCATGGTCAGCCGTATTTATGTTGTTCCAGTGCTAACACCAAAACAGCAGCGGAGCTTGTAGCCAAGGATGCTAATGCTATGAAGGCCAAGTGTCCCGGGGCTCCGGTGCTTATTCTGGGGGATTTCAACACATGCACACTGAACAATGTATGACCATCATTCCATCAGTATGTGGATGCAAACATCTTGGACATGTTCCGTGGTAACATCACCGATGCATTCCAGTCCCGTTCATAACCCTAACCCGCTCTACAGACAAGAACTGAAACGTCACACGCTACAGCGCTCCACAGTGGTCAGGGGGCGCCATTTCACATGTGCAAGGTTCCCTGGCATGCACTGACTGGAGTATTTTTGATGGTGATCTGAATGATAGAGTTTCTGTCATTTTGGATTTCATCAGTTTCTGCATAAACACAATTATTCGTGTTAAAACAACAAAAAAATCCAAACTCCAAGCGTTGGATAACACCACGAATTAGACAGACCCTAAAAGAAAAACAAAACCAAACTCATAACCACCACAGCCTCCAAAGAACCCGTCTTCCCACCAGACCTCACAGAGCTGAACAACGGCACAGACACACAACACTGAGATGGAGACGAGCTGGAGCAGGCCGAAGCATGACGCCGTCCATCAGAGCAACCCTTAACAAAAGGCCAAGGCGACTGGACAGAGTGAAAACCACACGTCTATGTGACCCGTGTGTCCTGGATGGTGCTGTGGAAAAGAGTTTCCCCACCAGGACACCAACGTCAAAGTCTGTCAAAGATCAATTCATTGAACAAGATGTTTCGATCAACCAACATTTATTTTCATATTTTTACATCTCAAGGTATCAGTAGAGGTTTGTTAGTGTTATTGTTGTTGTTTTATGTCTCAGTGAGGATCTGCTGTTGAGCAGTTAAAGCATTCTCCCAGCTTCTCCTACGGATTGAATCTGACTTTAAGGAAGTCTTAGCTTGTTTTACTGAAGATTGTAAGGCAGCTAGCTTACAGATAACTTTAAGCTGAACACGGTTGTCCATTTGTACTCTGAGTCAGTGATTCATTCTTGGTGTAAAACAAAGTGGACGGACGCTCTGGGGTTAGGGTCAGGCTCCTGGACTCAGTCTGAGCTGAACAGAACAACAAATGCTGTTGAAGGCTTTTGAAACTTGAGTAGAAACAGCATCGAGGCTTCTGCTGTCCAGAGCTTCAGTAAACTCATTTAAAGGAGTCAGAGCCAAGTGAAGAACAACTGGAAGCACCAGCTGATGGCCCAGACCATAGCTCAGTAACATCACACACTCAGCGCTAACTGCTCATGTCTCCTCCTCTTTTTGCTGAGCTCAGCTAAACCATGCCACTGACAGGTGTTTCATGGTGTTTTCAGTGAAACTGAAACTAATCTGCTGCTATGGTTCCTTCAGGTCTGGGTCAGGGTGTCCCGGTGGTGTGTCTGATTGTGGAGGGCGGTCCGAACGTCATCACCATCGTGCTGGAGAGTCTGAAGGAGGAGCCTCCGGTTCCGGTGGTGGTTTGTGACGGCAGCGGTCGAGCCTCCGACATCATTTCATTTGCTCACAGATACTGCGAGGACGACGGGTGAGGACGAGTCACACCTTAAAGTCAACCGGTTATCAGGTTCAGGCTGATGTATTACACTGTGAACATCACCTGATCACCTG